ATATATATATATATTTGTGCATACATTCATACACATACATTTATGTGCACGCATACACAAACAAATAACGTTTTCCCGCACACACACATACATACACCCACACAGGCAGGCGCACACAAATATTCTACACGATATTCGTTTAGGCATAGTTATAATACATACCACTCGACATGCACATACATAGACACACATGCCCAAATACACACATCCATACATCCACACACACTGCACTTACACACTGCACACACACTTACACACTGCACACACATGCAAACACATACACAAACGTGTAACGAATAGCAGTCACATACATCTGCTGAGGTTTATTCTCGAGATTCTGGTGCACGTCGCCGAACTGCAAGTTCACTTTGGTAAATATAATGTAGAATGCTGAATTACCGCTGGTGGTGCTGTAGATGTGATTCCGAGTACCATATCGACACCTTGAGCAAAGGTGAGCTGAGGATTGAATGGAAGCATCACGTAGTTTGGGATCTGAGCAGTCAGAGGAGGGATCTGAACAGGCAAAGGAGGGATCTGAGGAGCCGGAGGGATCTGAGCAGCCGAAGGAGTGATTGACAGTAATATGACTAGCAACGTTCCAGCCAACCACGCACTCGTCATGGCCTACAAATAGAAAGTGTGATTATTAGAAAGAATAGACGATGAGGCATTGCATGAAGAAAGCAATTTGCCTCTACAAAAAGTGCCACTTGCACCTTACAGTAATGGTATCTATTGACGAATACTTCTTTCGCTCCTTATGCTTTCGATTCAAAGAAAGAGTTTTATGCAGTCACTGAGAAATAAATTAATTTCTAGTAAGTTATGCAGCTAAAAAAAGACTACAACAGTCGGCTGACACTTGCTTCATTTGTTTCAGATGGTGCGGATCACCCGGAGTGCAGGTATGAGGAGAACAACGGCTGCCTGATCATGGGTAAGACAATGTCTGGTTGAATTCATATAGGTAAGTTAAGGGTAAAAGATGAAATGGTCAACTGGTAGGCAGGAATTACAACTTCAACGCAAAAAGAGGTAGCTCGGACCGAACAGGACATTCTAACTGTTAATCGATTTCTGACACCTTCTGCGACTATGAAACCTTTCTTCGTCGCTTTTAATATTTTTGAACGATTTCTGTCGAATTAGACCTTCAGTTATTCTCGTACCAAGGCCATAGTCTCGCACCTCTATATCTGAACAACAAATGTCATTGCTTTCCTCCAAACTGTTCCGCACAGCTTCTTTGTCGGTAAGATGTGACTACCAAATGCTTTATTCCTCCCTCTCTGGGAGAGCACGACTACCTACTGAATCCAGCATATGAGCCTGACACGATGCTCAAAGGAACCTACGCTCTACAAGCGGTAACATTAGTAATCCTAATCGCTCTTAGCCAAAGGGAGCGCCCGGGGAGGACAGGGTGGGGAAGCCCGAGAGAGGCTGAAATTTTATCCAGGATCTCTTCGCCAGCCATGTCTGCTATTAGTTAGGATGGATCTGTCGTTCCTACAGTGCTCCCAAAATGCGACTTGCCATTACCGCGATGAAGATCTCTACATCGTCTGCTCCTCATCGGGTTGAACCAAAACTTCTGTAGAGACCTTCGTCAGCTATCGTCAACACCCTCGCTCTATTCATTACGCTGTACCTGTAGGAATAGAGGATACCCACTTATGTTAGTCTAGGACTGGTAAAATTGTATTACTGTGTAAAAAAGGAAACCCAGACTATATTGGCATCAATCAGCCTACTGTCCGTATTCTTCAAGTTCCGCATATGATTCGTCCTCAACTGGATTTGCAGAACAGCAAACGAAGGACACCCTGCATGGTTCAGAAGGAGGTTCAGTACAACCAAATTTTCATCCTTACAAGACTTATTAGGGTATCGCAGGGCTTTCACTGCTTTGAAGATGGCCTTCAGTGCTATCAGGACAAAGGCGATTATCAAGCTCTTGAGGTGTTCCTCCTCGGCATGTAATTCGACAGCTCCATACTGGCGCTCATGATACTAATTTTGTGATCCATTCATGAGCCCTACAACTCAAGACCAGGATCTCAAAATTCTACAAAGAGCGTGGAGAGGGAGATTCGGCAGTTTCCAGATCTTCAACTTCAAATGATGGCTAACATTTTCGATAAAACTTTATTTATATAACTCCACACGAGGTTTGCAATACCTTAATGGCTAACGTTTCGGTGAAACCACCTTCGTCGGAGCCTCAAAGGATGGAATCAATTTATGAGATTACCCGATCAAACATCTCCACCCCC